AACTGAAGTCTCTTATTTCAAGGATATAATATCTAATTATCTTATTTCAAGGGTAAAAATGCTCATTTAATTCGCAGATCATCTTATTTTCCGGCGTACATTAAGGGTGAATACACTTATTTTAAAACATTTTTACTCATTTGTAGAATGTTTTTGCAGTGCAGGAGCTCTTTTAACCTGGGAACCGATTCATTCACAACACCTGACCCTTCAACCAGGAATCAGAAATACTTTAATAATCCCAGGGAGGGATTACTTTCGTTACATATAGGACCAGTTTGATATAACGCAATTGAATACAATATATATAATTAGGGGGTCCCCGCTTCCTTGGCCTGGAAAACGTTGAAGACCCCTGCTTTAAAGATTTTAGTTGTAGAAAAGCAGCATGATTGTGTGTGATCAGTGTGTGATCAGTGTGTGATCAGTGTGTGAGTGTGTGCGTGAATGGGTGAACGGGTGAATGTAGCGTAAAGCGCTTTGGTCAAGTCTTCTGACTTTGGAAAAGCGCCATATAATTACAGGCCATTTACCATTTCACTGCAAAAACGATCTAAAAATGAGTAAAACATGTCTTAAAATTAGTAAAAAATGTCTTAAATTAAGTGTATTTACTCTTAATTTGAGCAGTTAAATTAGCTAGTTTGCCAACGAATGAGCAATTTTACTCTTAAAATGAGATATTTCGATAGCATGCACTTGAAATAAGACAATGCGTTTTCTAATTTTAAGTGTAAATTGTCTTGTTCCATTTGCAAAATGTCTCCTTTACCTCCTCAATCCAAGAAAAAATGCAATTATTTTAAGAAAAAATGACTGATCTAGATTTGGATTTTTTCCAGTGTACTTGTTGTTTTATTAATTGTTAAACAGAAGGAGGAGAAGTGGGCGGGGTGTGAATATTTCTGGGAGAAATAAAACACGCGGCGGTGTTTCTCGGTGTTTCAGGTGAACTGATGGGTGTGGAGGAAGCGCCCGAACGAAGCTCAGACCGAGCGGAGGCCGAACAGGAAG